TAAGGATTAAAAATTATGTATAATAAAACGACTCAATTGTTAACATAGTTTAATTCAATACAGTATACATTTATATTAATGGTAACCACCGAAACATATTTTTTAAAGAAAAATTCGTTTCATAAATTTTATTTTTTTTTACCATATTAATTTAAAATAACAATTCAAAACTACTATATTCTAGAGAAATGTATTAAACGAGTTCAATCCAATGATTTTTAAACTAATAAAAGCTATTAATAAAATATTAGTTTAAACTGATTATTTTGTAATAAGTTTGTTAAAATAAAAAATATAAATAAAAAGAAAAATAAATTTCAATAGATTATATCTTAATGTTTCGATGAATTTCCAAATGAATTATTTCAATTCTTCTTCTTCCTCGCCTTAATACTAACAACTTGGTGTCTAAAAAAAGTATTTCAATAAGAAAATAAATGTATAAATCATAAAAATGTTGATATATTAGCTTCGATGCGAAGCTGAGAAGGTATTGATTTTACTATGATATGTTTTTTTTTTTTTTGTCTGTTACCACTTTTTCTCGGCTCTCACCGAACCGATTTCTTTCAATGATACGTCAAAAGATCACAAATCGTATCTAGTCGAAGAAATTACCCTCAAAAATTGAAAAATTTCTCTCGTTCCCCGTAAATGGGGGAAATCACCAAAAAAATTACAAATTTAAAAATCTCTAATTTTCGAAATTTTTTCATTTTTTTTTACTTAAAATTGCCATAACTTTTTTAAAAATGAACATATCAATATAATTTTTTTTTTATAGATGATTGATGTCTTTACCTATCATTTTGTATATTTTTTTTATAAATTTAACCCTTTACCTTTACCTTTACAGGGGGGGATTTAAAATGACAACTTTTTCACAAAAAATTAACTTTTTCAATTTAACTTTTGAGTGTTCCGGAAATACTGACACTTTTATATATATCTTAAATTAAAGCTAATATAATATACTTTATTATGGAAAAAAAAATTTCGGACTTTAATTTGTCTTCACGGTGAAAATGGCTACCGTATGCTATTTTTGTGTTAAAATTCTGGATTTTATATTTTACATTTTTAACTTTAAAATGTTATAACTTATTGAAAAGTTTATGGATCCACACAATTTTTTTATAAGAAGTAATATTTTTTAATAATCCCTTTTTCATTCGATATATTTTATCTTTATCAGGAAATTAATAAGGAACTAGCAGATCATGTAGCTTTTGTAATAATCCACCAATTTTTTAAAATTAAACACTACCTAAAGATTTGCATCGAAGAGTTTTTTTTTTATAGTGATTTTAATCACTGTCAAATATTATTATACTTGATCTAACTATGCTACGTCATCACTGTGTCCCGACCCCCCTGTGCTGCGTTTTTTTGTATAAATATTTTTCAAAATGTTGGTTTTAAAAAATTGATACCATTTATTAATAATAAAACCAGCAGTGGGGTTACAGCATATTTGAAACAAGTAGAGATGATAAATGACAGTGATTAAAATGATTATCATAAAAAACGTTTCGATAAATATATGTAGGTGTTGTTTATTTTTAGATGAAATTTTCGTTTTTTTTACAAAAGCAAATCAAATTTTTATCTTTAATTATATCCTGATTACAAGTTTTATGATTTATTAATTACATATTAATAATTTAGTATTGAAATTTGTATGCAGAAATTATAAAAAGGTTATCAAGTAGTTTGTAATGTAATAAAATTATGAGTATAAGGTCACAGGCAACTGTATTCAAGAAGTGTGTGTCGTACATCTGTAGGTTCAATGTTACATATACACACATGGTTATTTAATTAGGTTAATGAATAATCATGGCACCGAATCATTATCATCTCAACTTGGAGATCTCAATAATTGTAATATGGTATATCTTTCTTTGTAATTTTTTTTTTTTTTGCAAAATGTGCTCATCTAAAATTAAACATTTTATCTTTTTGTATCTCTTTTCCAGTGTGTAACTAAGTAATACTGTTTATTGGTGATCTGACTATGTGGTCACAATTTTTTTTTAGTTACTGACTATATATGAGTATATGTATTTACTATATATACTATTATGAGTCTATATAAATGGATTTATGTTATGGTAATGGTTAAACCTTATTTTTTTTCTTTCTTCCTTTCTCCTTTCCATGAGCTGATAGTTCCTCGGGTGTAGTAAGGATAGACACGGTGAACATCTCATTGGGCTCTCTACATTTATGTAAAGGATAACCATTGACGTTGGTGACATATCCATTATACCCTGACACATGTGTTGGATCTGTCATGTTCTTGTTATTTCTTTTTTCTCTTATTTTATTTTATCTTTTTGATTATTTAAATAGACTACTTCATGTTAGATTTATGACATTGAAAATTAACTCTTTATTTAAAATGAGTTTTACCTAACCAATTAATATTTCAATATCTGCTTGTTTGTTCTTACAATAAATACTATATGCATATTATGTATTATTTATGTGGATATAATGATTAATAGAACAAAAAATCATTGTATCAGATAACACAATATTAATTGGATATATTTTAATTTATATATTTTTTTATGACTGATGGAACGTCTTAAATATTTGGACTCTCATACATATATTTCTCTTAAATCTTTGACCATTATTTCATTATTACTTAAATTTTTTTCTCTATTAACTTTAATATTTTATTATAGAGTTTTTTATGATATATATTAGCTTTGATGCGAAGCTGAGAAGGTATTGGTTTTACTATGATGTGTTTTTTTTTTTTTTTTTTTTTT